AACTGAAAAGGTACCGGTCCCAATAGGTCTAGGTCTAGAGTAGGCTAGTCTATTAATAGGACTGAGCCGGTAGTTTGGGAACTTTTGGCTTTTCATTTTCACAATGCAGCGTTGTGAGCCAAGCAAGTTGGTGGTGGTGATTGTCTACAGGCGGCATCCTGAGACCCTCGCCGTGGACGGCAGCCATAGCCAGCCTTCTGGAGGTTGCCATAGCTGGGGCATCCACAACGCATATACCCCTGGGGGTATCTGCGTCTGGCTGGGCTAGACCAAGGCTCTTCACTGGGTACTCGTGGGTGGACCACTATCGCCCATCTCGCATTTGGAGATTTTAGGGCTGTGTCAGTGGTGCAGCGGCCATAGCTGCCTGTTTCCTCGTCATAGTTGTTCATCGGCACTGAAGACTTCATCCCGGGACCTGTTCTTCATCTGGGCGCTTGGCTCTGGCCTCTGGGAGGCCTTCTTAGTGTTGCTAACTGGGTGTAGGGTAGAGAGTGGAGTGTGGAGTTCTGAGGGTGGCGAGATACTGAAACAAACTCTGTAACGATAATTGGTTTGAGTTGGCTCATCATCAATGTAGAATCCTATTTTTATCCTCGCATGTCTCTTCTTGTGATTGGTTGTTGGGAGTATTGTCAGAGAGTGAGAAATGCTGTGTCTCTCTCCCCATCTGTGCATGGTTGTGTTTCGCTGCTCACTTTGATCTGTGTGCAATTTGGACTCTGTCTCCTCTCCCCCTCGTCTTATGCATGATGAGCGTGTATGAGATTGTCTGTGTGTGAGTGGCGGTGAAAATCGTCGGAGCTGGGTAGGATTAGGGACACCGAGGGTTGAGCGCAACAGGGGCATCTTCTTCTTTTGAAGATCTTATGAAGGGAGTTCCATGGTGGTTCATCTTCTTCAGGGCTGAAACGGTGGAGAAGAAGATTTGCAGACGATGAATTCAAGAGTACAGTGTCTGGATGGACCAGGCGCACTATCCCTGCCAGAGCGCTTGTTAAAAGTGGCGAGTCTAGGGCTATTTCGCCAAAGTCAACCCTGAGTGCAGATGAGCGATTTGCTTCAGAGTGGCGAATTGCCCTTGAATACAAAGGATAACTGAGTGGCGACATAATCCCTGAGGAGTGTTGAGCTGGATTGACTATTAGAGTCAACCCCATGCAGAGTTGACCCCATCTGGGGCTAATTATAGCATCAGCGGCTAATTGGGTCTGTGGCGAGATATCTATTGCTGACTATTACATCGCCATGAGACTAGATTCAGTGAATCTAGTAAGTGGGATTGAAGCGCCTCAGTACCTCGAGCAAGATCAACAAGTTTGAGGAGATTTTGTACGTGGAGACCAGAGGAGGAGTTTCAGGAAGCAACTGGCGAGATGAGGGTTTCAGTCTGCCATAGCCAGATCTTCATCATCTTCTGAAGACTACACTGAAAGTGAGTACGTTCCACACAGAGCTCTGTATAGCGAAGTATTTAGTGTCAGTATAGTTAAAATTGATGGTCTATCTGTCTGCCAGAGTCCAAATTTAGTTTTGTCAGACTGCATGTTAGCCATAGCCATCTTCTTCCTATCTTCACTTTCTCATATCTCCCCCTCTGCTGACTCTTTCTGTCTCAAATCTGTTCTGGGACTGCATGACAGTATTGCGCTGGACCCTGTATGCTCAGAATGTGAATTCTGTATTGGAAAAGTATTAATACTGTGGATTGTGATTTTGCGCAGAGTCTATTTATAGCTTGGGCTATATAGGGTTAGTTGCAACTACAATTCTGCCCTTCATAATTCAATTCTGTCAGTCTGTAGTGAATCGCAATTCTGTTGTTGTCATCTGTACAAAAGCGTTTGACCAGATTATCAATATTTGAGTAATTACAGTGAATACTGTAAATCGCCATACCTTTGGGTATGGCTGTCAGAGTCAACAATGGCAAAATTTGAGTCTGTGGTAGGATTGAAGGCTACTGACTAAATGGTTAGATCTTGTTGGTCTGTGATTGTCTGTACTTACCACTCTCTCTCTCCCCCACTGTATGCTCTTGTGTTCTAGTGGACTCTGGAATTTTAGGATATCTCTGGGATTACTAGAACTGTCTGTACTAACTCCAGTTTAGGTGCAGGGTCAGTAAAAGGAAATCGCGTGACTGATTTTACTGGACTGTTTGTCTATCTGACCGCTGACATCCAGAGAGACAATTCCAACCCCAATCGTTCATTGCCCATTCACCCACCTACGCCTGTGAAAGAGATAGCAGCGATTTTCGAGTGTCTGAGGGATTGGTATATCACTGCATACTCCCTTGTTTGTCCACTAACTAGTGTGTGTGTGAGAGTGGAAAATGGCGGATCAGGAGGCTCGGCAGCAGCCACAGGGAGAAGTCCAACAGACTTCTGCCTCCTCCTCTACTACACCTCTGACTGCGACTCAGCGGAAGGAGGAGTTGCAGGATAGACTGCAGCAGGAGCAGGCGCTGCTTGCAGAACTTGAGAGATAGGAGGCAACCGAGCTGGAGGCTGCAACAGATGCCTCACGCAGTGAGTGTCTGTTGGAGCAGTTGACCAAACACATGCCAGATGAGCGCTGCACCCAGGTGACCACGAACTTGGCGGAGTGGGCCGTTTTGGAACACAAAGCCACCAGTTCCTATTTCACCAATTGGGATGATCGCATGGGCCGTCTTGAGCGTTGAGTTGAGGACCTGGCGGCTCAGCAGTCAAAGCTATTGGATACAATTCAGGCTCTGACTGCCCAGCTGACAGCAGCCAACCTGATTACTCCTCAGCCTCCTGTACCCAAAGTAAAACCTTCTCTTTCTCTTACTTCATCTCCCTCTGGTTCTCGCCATTCTTCCCCTTCACCACCTTCCTCCCAAAAAGCCACAGGCTGCCCAATGCTTGAATCTGCTCCTGCGGGTGATCAAACGGGACCCAAGATTCCCCCCAACAAGTTCAAAGGCGACGATCCCAAAGTGGATGTTGGGGACTGGACCGCGGGTACCAAAGCCTACTTGAGAGGCTTTACATGTGAAGAGCAAACCAAGGTTGTGACGGTGCTGGGACTGTTGGAGGGGCCCGCATTGAAGTGGGCTACCTCAACCTCCAGCAGCCAGGAACAGTGCCTGGAGGACTGGGCTTTTGGGCTGGGGGTGGACAGACTTTTGCAGGCCCTAGAGGACCGCTTTGCAGACAAGGAGCGGGCCCACAAAGCTGCTGACAGGATTGCTCGCCCGGGGCAGCAGCGTTATAGCGGGTCGCTGCAATCTTTGTTTGCAGAGTCCGAGCAGCTCACCTCTACCCCGGGTTGGTCGTATCAGCAGACGATCTGCTAACCAACTTCTGCAGGGCAGCGCCTGAGAAGTTTGTTGTTGCTTTATACAGTGCTGGGCACAAGGATTGGAGATCCTTCGGTCGTGCAGCCCTGGACATGGAGGAAAAGCTGCATGTCCAGGCCCCCTCTTCTGATAGAAGAAAAGGAGCCTTCCCTCGTGGTGGCAGAAAGGGAAAGGCTGCCCTTGCACATGCAGGATCTGGATCAGCCAGTGATTCAGACTCCCAGGCTGATGTACCATCAACTGGGACAACTCACCTCTACCCCTGGGTTGGTCGTATCAGTAGATGATCTGCTAACCAACTTCTGGAGGGCAGCGCCTGAGAAGTTTGTTGTTGCTTTATTTAGTGCTGGGCACAAGGATTGGAGATCCTTCGGCCGTGCAGCCCTGGACACGGAGGCAAAGCTGCATGTCCAGGCCCCCTCTTCTGATAGAAGAAAAGAAGCCTTCCCTCGTGGTGGCAGAAAGGGAAAGGCTGCCTTTGCACATGCAGGATCTGGATTAGTCAGTGATTCAAACTCCCAGGCTGATGTACCATCAGCTAGGACTGAGTCAGCTGCTGATACAGATGTTGTAGCGGCCCTGACTCAGGCTGTTTTGGGAGTTCTGCAACAGCAGAAAAGGTTTTCTCCCACCACAGCCTCAACCGGTATGAAGGGGAAGGACAAGGGACATCGTCCTTCTATCCCTGCCCGGCGCCCTAACCTGCCAAAAGTCGTCTGTATGCCAGCTGATCCCTCCACTCTGCCCTGGCATGATCTCAAGATCCAGGAAGGAGTATGGAGAAGAAGAAAGGATAGAGGGGTTTGCCTACGATGTGAAGGTCAGCACTTCCTGAAGGACTGCCCCTACATGCCAGGCCCGAGTCAGTCAAAAAACTGAAGCAGACCCTGGCGACTGTAGTTCCCTCCAGTGTTGCACCTTCACCTCAGAGGAAGATGAATCTGCAGGTGCTTCAGTTGAGACACCGTAGAGTGTGGGAGCTGCGCGGGCAGCATCCTTTTGTTATGAGGATCCTGACCCGGATCAAGAACCGGACGAGCATGAGCTGCAGACACTTGCTGCCTTTTTCTTTAATCTGAAAGAACAAAGGAAAGTCAAGCTTGACCTCATCCTGCTTCGGCCCCTGATCAATCACATCAAAATCAAAGGGTTGTTGGATTGTGGAGCCACCAGAAACTTCATGTCCCCCAGAGTTGTCAAAAAATTGCACCTGGGCATGAAAGTTGAGCAGCTACAGCATCCGCTGCAGGTTAGGATAGGTGACTCCACTGCAATCACCATCAGGGAGAAGGTCCGGGGTATCCCTGTTACCTTTGACAATGCTGGGGAAGTCAGACACCGTTTGAACTTCTGCATATTCCTTGACCTACCCTTCGATCTGGTGTTCTCGATGAAGTGGCTGAGGGCAGTCAACCCTAGGATCGACTGGCAGATCTCTAAGGTTGAACTCCCCAATGGACATGGGGTGTATCAGACTTGCAGGATTGTTGTTGAACACCACCCAAAGACCTCTTACTACTGTTTGAGAGCGAGAGAGTTTTATTCCCTCTCGCGCCAGTACGACCATGAGCATCTATTTTTAGCTTTGGTCAAACAAACAGACGCTGCACCTGTTTCTTGGCCTACTGAGATACAGCAGGTTGTGGATTAGTATGTTGATCCGATGCAGGAGCCCTTTGGATTGCCCAACCGGCCAACCAAGCATCACATCGAGTTGCTACCTGGAGCGGTCCCTCCCAAGGGCCGCATCTACAAGATGTCCCATGTCGAGCTTGAGGAGCTCAGAAAGCAGTTAGAGACCCTGACCAGCAAAGGCTGGATACGGCCGAGCACATCTGAATTTGGCGAACCAGTGCTCTTCGTCCCGAAAGGGAATGGAGAGTTCAAAATGTGCATCGACTACAGGGGCCTCAACAAGATCACTAGGAAACGTACAAAACCTATTCCTAGGATCGATGACCTGCTGGAAATGGTACAGGGCTGCACAGGGTTCAACAAAATTGACCTCAAATCTGGTTATCACCATATTGAGATGGCAGAGGAGGATGTCCACAAGACCGCCTTCAAACCCAGATATGGTACTTACGAATATCTGGTTATGCCATTTGGACTTTGCAATGCCCCAGGTACCTTTTAGACTTTCAAGCCTTACCTGCACAAGTTCATGGTTGTCTACCTAGATGATATTCTGGTATTCAGTCGAACTGCCAGGGAGCATGCGGAGCATCTGGCTCTGGTTCTTCAGTTGTTACATGACAGCCAGTATAAGATTAACAGAGAGAAGTCCTCTTTTGGAGTTCCCTCTTTTATCTATCTGGGTCATGTAATCTCTGGAGATGGGCTGGCCCCTGAAGCAGCCAAAATTGCTGCTATTCAGGAGTGGCCCCAACCACAGACAGTGAGGGATGTCAGGTCCTTCATGGGTTTGGCTTCGTACTACACGAAGTTTGTCCAGAACTTTTCTGCGGTGGCCTCACCCCTGACGAACCTAACAAAGAAAGACACTCCTTTTCTTTGGTCCCTCCCCTGTCAGTTGGCCTTCACACGACTCAAGAAGGCCTTGACTCGTGCACCAGTGCTGAAGTTGCCTGACCCCACTTTGCCATTTATCCTGACTACCGATGTCAGTTAGTATGGCATTGGGCCAGTTCTTCAACAAAATGATGGGAATGGTCTACTGCCTGTAGAGTTCATGAGCAAGAAGACCAAGACACAGAAGCTTCAGGACTCTACCTACGAGAAAGAGTTGCAGTGGAGGAAGTCCCAAGGAGAGTTAAACGATAAACTAGCACGGTACATTCAGTTCATTGACATGTTTGACTTTGAACTGAAACATAAGAAGGGTTGCTACAACAAAGTAGCGGACGCCCTCTCTCGTAGGTCTGACGCTTTTGCGTTGATCTCCTCTACTCACTCCTTTGGAGAGGAGACCCGTCAGACCATTGCCCATTTACTGCCTCAGGACCCGACTTATGGACCCATAGTCAGGAATCTGCAAGCAAATCCCAACTCTGAACCAGGTTATGCCCTGAGTTCAGACTTGTTGTACACTTACAACAGGGGTGAGGAGCGCTTGTGCATTCCCCAGGACCAGCGACAGAGGACTCTACTGATGTCGGAGTGCCATGATGCACATGGCCATTTTGGGTTCCTATAGTCATATGCAGCCCTGTGGCAACGCTTCTTCTGGAAGGAGATGCGGACTGATCTGTTGCACTATATTCAAACCTGTGAGCTCTGCCAGAGAAATGAGGTCCAACGTAGACCTCCTCTCGGACTGCTCAAACCCTTGCCCATGCCTGCTGGTTCTGCTGAATCTGTATCTATACATTTTACAGATCTAGGCAAGACCACCCCTCGTGGCATGCGTCAGGTAATGGTCTGTGTGGACAGGTTCTCTAAGTACACAGAGTTCATCCCCTTGCCAGAAGTAGCTAGGGTCCTCGCTGTGAGAGCAACGTTTTAAGAGAGGTGGGTCACTCACCATGGACCGCCCACTTCTATAGTTAGTGATAGAGATCCACGATTCTGCAACAATGAGTGGCAGTCCTACTGCAAGGACTACCTACACTCACGATTGAACATGACTTCTGGCCATCATCTTGAAGCCAATGGTCAGGCTGAAGTGATGAACCAAGTCTTGTTTCAGTTGTTGCGACCTGTCATCTCTCCAGATCAACAGGATTGGGATCTCCAACTGGCTCGTGCACAACTTGTTTACAATACCTCTATCCACTCTTCAACGGGGTTCAGTCCATATCGTTTGCATTGGGGACGTGAGCCACGACAGCCTCTTGATGACATCATCAATAACGCTAAGTCTGATCTGACTACTAGCACTGCGGAGTTTACCAGGCGCTACAGAGCCGATGTGGAAAGGGCACGGGCAAACTTGTTCAAGGCTCAAAAGGCCATGATTGAACAAGCTAATCGCCACCGACGTCCTTCCCCTATTCGTACTGGCGATTACGTCTGGGTAGCCAGTTCAAAGTTGTCGAGGGAAGAGGAAATCTCTCCCAAGCTGTTGCCACGATACCTGGGTCCGTGGCAGGTGTTAGATATAGTGGGCTCTGATCCTTTTGGCCCGTCGTACGTTATCAACGTCCCTCTGCATCTACAGACCTATCCGGTCTTCCATGCATCCAAGTTGCTTCCCTTCATCCGAGCTGATGCATTCCCAGACCGGCCCCCTCAGTTTGGTCCACCGATTCCTGGCAAGGGATATGACGTGGAGTCCATCGAGGACGAGTGGGGCACTGGCCCCGACCGGCAATATCTTGTGAAGTTCTGTTTCCAGCCTCATATCCAGGACAGGTGGTTCACCAAGAAAGAACTTCTCAAGACAACCAAGTCTGTAGTACTTCGTTACGAGGCGGCTCAGAAAGGGAAGCTTCCTCGCCGATCTCCTTGTCTTCACCCTTAGCTCGAAGGCCCTCGCTCCCTGGGAGGGTAAGCCTGCAATGACTTGCTGATTTTTGCTGCCGAGATCTGACTGCGAGGTTGTATAGTCGTGTCTTAGGGTCAGATTCGTAATTTTGTTTATGTCAGGGACTAACCGTGAGTTCGGTGCGAGGGAAATCCAGGAGGGACAAATCTGTAAATCTGGGAAAATTATACTCCCAGTAGTACCCCGAATTTCCTCTAGTACCCTCACTACCTCTAGCAGTACCGGGCTATCACTACGACAGCAGGCCCAACGGGCCTTGGGCTGTAGCAACGGTCTCACGCTGTATAGCCGGATAGGGTCCAGGCCAAACAGGCCAAACTGAAACGGTACCGGTCCCAGTAGGTCTAGGTCTAGAGTAGGCTAGTCTACTAATAGGACTGAGCCGGTAGTTTGGTGACTTTTGGCTTTTCATTTTCACGATGTAGCGTTGTGAGCCAAGCAAGTTGGTGGTGGTGCTTGTCTACAGGCGGCATCCTGAGACCCTTGCTGTGGACGGCAGCCATAGCCAACCTTCTGGAGGTTGCCATAGCTGGGGCATCCACAACGCATCAACCTTTGGGGGTATCTGCGTCTGGCTGGGCTAGACCGAGGCTCTTCACTGGGTACTCGTGGGTGGACCACTATCGCCCATCTCACGTTTGGAGATATCAGGGCTGTGTCAGTGGTGCAGCAACCATGGCCGCCTGTTTCCTCGTCAGAGTTGTTCATCGGCACTGAAGACTTCATCCCGGGACCTGTTCTTCATCTGGGCGGTTGGCGCTGGCCTCTGGGAGGCCTTCTCAGTGTTGCGCGACTAACTGGGTGTAGGGTAGAGAGTGGAGTGTGGAGTTCTGAGGGTGGCGAGATACTGAAACAAACTCTGTAACGATAATTGGTTCGAGTTGGCTCATCATCAGTGTAAATCCTATTGTTATCCTCGCAGGTATCTTCTTGTGATTGGTTGTTGGGAGTATTGTCAGAGAGTGAGAAATACTGTGCGTCTCTCCCCATCTTTGCATGGTTGTGTTTCGCTGCTTACTTTGATTTGTGTGCAGTTTGGACTCCGTCTCCTCTCCCCCTCGTCTTATGCATGTATGGGCGTGTATGGGATCATCTGTGTGTGAGTGGCGGTGAAAATCGTCAAACAACCAAGTTCATAACACTCTACTGCAGGTATCACTTGAGGTCCACCATAGCCATGGCCGCCTCCCTCACTCTTCACTCTCATAGGCCGAGGCTATAGCGGACTACTTGGGGATTCCCCTGTGTCCAAAGGACAACCCAAAGCAGATATGGCTGCTCTAGCTTAGGCCACCATGCCTGACTCTGCCTCGAAGCTTCTTCGTGCCGCTCTACCCCAGCTGGGGCCTTCCTGCTGCAGCGCCCACCAAGGTGATGAAGATGGCTGCCACCATAGCCAGGTAAGTACCTCTGGCGCTCCCCCTTCCTCCTGGTCTTCTTCCTCCTCCGTGTCCTTGCTCATTCCCCAACAATGCTTCTCTTGCTAGCGCTGCTCCAGCCAGCACTCCAACCAGTGTGTCGCCAAACTTGCACACCGAAAATGAGGCTGGGCTCTTCGCCCGACCTGGAGATATAGCGGCCTGCTTGCCTCTTGGGTGGTGACTTCCAGGCCGCTCGGCCTTCCAAGCAACCGGTACCTCCTCCCTTTCAAAGGGAAACATCATTGCAGACTCTGATATTGCCCGTACAGGCCCTAGACTCAGACTAGTTGGACTGGTACCCTCCTAGACCTAGCCTACAACTACTGGGCCTCTAAAAATGCCACTTTTGTCTTCTTCTGCTCGGCCTCGAGTACCCGGCACATCTACCTCTTCAGGGTGTGGTACCAGCATACCTGCTACTTCTCCTCGCTGCTTCAAGTGTTGCGGGCCTCTTCCCCTACGAATAGCCAGGCTTGCCAGAGTTGGAACATTTCAGGGTTTCCCACTCAAGCTCCAGTCTCCCACTTCATGGTGGATTCGAAAAACAAAACTTTTTTTCTGGAAACCCGCTACTTGAGTGTTTTTCACCGCTGCAATCCCCAATGTCATGACCATAGGTAAGTACCCGCCCTGTGGGCCCAACGAACGAACAGGTTTTGCGGGTCACACACACACTCCAATCAACCAGCACTCAAACAGACATGCAGACCAGCAAGCGTGCACACACACAGGCATGCAAAATTTAGTAGCAAGTGGGAAACTCAGCAAGGCATTCAGTCCATGAGCAAAACTCAGAAATCAGTTGTGTCTCAGTCCGTGTTTGGTCGGGTCATCACACTACCTCCCCCTTAAGAGTGGTGTCCCTTTACGCGAGTAACTCAGTCTGAGTCCCCGACAAATGTATCGTAAACAAATAAAGTAAATAGATTTCGAGAGTACTCTGTCGCAGTGAGTTTTGCAGAGATTTTGGGAACAACATTAGAGGAGATTTGTTGTTTGTAGGCTTTAACGACGTGAGGAGCGTTGCATAGCAGTTCCTTCTTGGAGATCCAATGTAAATCGTCCAATGGGTGATACATAAAGTGAACCTGGTACTGTCTGTTACGTCCCTTCCCTACGTGTTGTTTGATTCTATCAATCTCATGACCGCCATCGATTGCACGAGGAATCATGTCTTCACGGTGATCGAAGGACTTAGCATCACGGTGGATATACAGTTTCGAGGCATGAAAGACGAGGTATGTGCACAGATGAGGTGGCACAACAACTCTATATAAGGGGCCAAACCCATCCTTTGCCAATCACATCCAGAACTTCCCACAGACCATAATAGAGCGGAAAAAGTTTGCATGAGACTCCCTCTTCTTCTGAGAATTCAGACATCTTGACCCATACATAACTTCCTACTTCGATATTTGACGGTCGGCACTTCTTGTTCGCATGATGGATCATTGTGTGTTGTCGCATGGTTATTGTTGCGATGGCTTGTTCGCATGATGGATCATTCTGGATCGAGCCACGCCAGCCGGGTGTTAAATCAGTTGGCTGTTCAGGGAATAGGTAGGAGAGCGGATTACGAATCTGCCAACCGTAATGCAACCTATTTGGCGTCATGTCAGTGGAAGAATGAATGGAGTTGTTGTACAACCCCTTGACGAAATACAACTCTTCGTCCCACATCTCCTGATCCGGAATAATTTAAGCATGAAGAAGTTGGAACGAGCTTCCCGTCCTCATGGATGAGAAGCACGAGTCCCCATTGACTTTTCTCAATGCCATGCAATTCTGCAAAAAGTGGCGCAAGCACAAACAGGACGAAGAAATGTATGTTGCCTATGTTCGCCCTACTCATGTGCCATCTACTTTTGCGGCTGGTACCAATCCTACTTCATCTAACGAGTCGACTTCTAACACTTCTACTTCTCCACCTACCCCTAGTCCAAATGATTCTACTTCAGATTCGGTTGCCTCCATTCGTAATCTGCGACCTGATGTAGGTGACCCTTTTGCTAATCCCTCACCCCCACCTGTCTTAACAAGCATTCAAACCTACTTAACCAATTCTTGAAAGTCCTGGCCAAACCACGTGGAGTCCCCACACGATCGAGTTGGTCGAAGGTGTTGTTTCTCCAAAGGGTTGTGTATACTGAATGGGATCCGACAAGTTTGAGAAACTCCGAAAACAAATCGATGACATGATCGACAAGGGATGGATCAAGCCTAGTTAATTTGAATTTGGTGCACCTGTTTTGTTTGTTCCAAAGAAAGGAGGCAAACTCTGCATGTGTATTGACTATCGCGGTCGAAACCGCATCACAAGAAATAATGCATACCCACTGCCACGCATAGATGACTTGCTTGATGTTGCACGTGCGTAAAGGTCTTATCCAAGATCGACCTCAAGTCTGGATACCACCAGATTGAAGTCGATGTTGCAGACAAGCACAAGATTGCGTTCAAGACACGCGATGAGTTTTATGAATTTACTGTAATGCCTTTCGGTCTCACGAACGCACCGGCCACCTTTCAAAGCCTTATGGATAAGGTCCTCCGTGAACAGATTGGTTGGTTTGTGGTGGTGTATCTCGACGATATTATGATCTTCAGCAAATCCATCGAGGAACATATGAAGCACCTTGAGGAACTGTTCACCATCCTCAAGAAAACGCAACTCCATCTCAACTCAGAGAAATCTGAGTTTAGGAGGGGTAGCATCATCTATCTTGAGCATTGGTTGTCTGCTGCAGGCCTAGAGCCTGCGGCAACCAAGGTTGAGGTCATACGCGACTGGCCTCAACCCGCGAACATCCATGAACTGCGCTCTTTCCTTGGTCTCGCATCATATTATCGGAAGTTTGTGCCCCGATTCTCTATTGTTGCTCACCCGTTGTCCCGATTGACAAGTAAGAATGTATCTTACACGTGGGATGCAACATGTGAAACCACATTTCAAGCCTTGAAAGAGGCCTTGGTAAGTTACCCTGTACTCCGCATTGTAGATTCCAAACTAACATTCATAGTTACTACGGATGCGAGCCAGTATGGGATTGGCACAGTGCTGCAAAAGATGACGACGATGGTTTGCGGCCGCTCGAGTACTACACAGCAAACGCATGCCCAACGAAAAGGTAGCTACTTCCGCCTACATGCACGAGCTCTATGGTTTGCGTATGACTTTGGATCATTGGAAGCACTATCTTTAGGGACGCCACTTCAAAAAGTTCTCAGATCATGAGACTTTGAAGTCGATCAAAGAACAAACCACCTTGTCCCCTACATTAACTCGCTGGTTCCATGAGACCGACATCTTTGACTTTGAACTAAAACACAAAAAAAATTGTTATAATCGAGTTGTTGATGCATTGTCTCGTCACCCCGAGTACATGCCTTGTGAATTCCTACGACCTTCGAAAGAAACTGAAGGAGGAGATCGTATAGCACACTGCCAAGGACCTAAACCTTAGTCCAATCCTTGAGTAGTTGCGCGCTGAACCCAACAGTCAGCCTGATTTTCACGACACTATGGGAATAACGACCGTTTGTGTGTACCCAACCATGAGCCCCTCGACACACACTTTTTGGACTTGGCTCACGACTGGAGTGGACACTTCGGCATGGCAAAAACGTACGAAAGCCTATTGAGACAGTTTGATTGGCCTGGTATGAAAGGGTCTACTGAAAAGTTTGTGGCTAAGTGCCAAGTCTATCAATGAATCAAACCATCCTGACAAAAGTCCATGGGCTACTTACACCTCTTCATATTCCCGATGGTCCCATGGAGTCCGTCTCTATCAACTTCACCGACATGGGAAAGGTAAGTAAGAATGGCTATTCGCAAGCGATGGTGATTGTTGATCGCTTTTCTAAATTCCTCAATCTGATTCTCTTGCTATCTCATGCCTCAACCAAGTTGTGATCCGTGAGTTTGAATAGAAGTACATTCTGCAGTTCAGAACCCCGAAAACTTGGGAACCACGTTTCATAAGTACCGAATGGAAGGACTTCACGTTGTCGGGACCTGTGGTTCCTGAATCGAGTTTCGGCCCCTGAGATACGATATATGGCTAACGTGTGCACGACAGAGGAATTCGGAATGAGGAAGCAAGAAAGACAGAAAGGAAGGGTTAAGGCAGGAATGTCGACACCTAAGGCCCTGGAGGATGCCCAAGGCCGCCGGGACCATTGGGCCAAGCGACAAAGTGCTGCAAGGAATTAGTAAAGGCGGCCTCATTCTCAAAGAAGGACCGTCGAGAAAATAGTACCCTTAGGCCGAACAACGCTGGTAGAAGAGGACCAGCAACGTAAGGGAAACAGTGTAGTGACGCCGGCACATGGGAGCGTAAGAAGCGGCCGAGGACGCCATCTGAATTCAACATGAGGAGGGCCAAAGGGCCATGGACCAATTAAGGGAGACACAAAGGACGGGCTAGCAGGGCCACCCGAGCAAGTGTCGGGCCACGAGCAACCTGAAAGACGAGTGGCCTTGGGAGCCATGATAAAAAGGACTAGAGAAAGAGAACCTCAATTTCGAGCCCCCTAGGCCTTGGAACTGAGAAGAAATCCAAAGGGAATGCATCGGACCACAAGGAGTGTTGACGTGGCATTGTGGCTGACGTGACACTGCGTAACCGGGAATGCAGGCAAAGGGTTGGGTGGGAGGGAAAACGCAGGAAGATAACCAACCAACTGTAGTTTCCTCCTGATCCTAATCAACAGAACAAAATAAAAATAAAAAATAAAAGAAGAGGATCAACCCCCCCCCCCTTTTTTTTTTTTTGTATATCGGTCGATCTGCTATGAGTGAGGCATTTCAGAGGAGTACTATGACCCAGATCTAGGCAAGGTCACACAAAGTTTTGGATTTCCAAAAAAAAAATAAAAAAAAATGCGATCTTGAAATTTTTTTTTGCACGAAATAGACTGGAAGTTCCACTTTTAGAGAAGAATATATCCAGTCCGAGAATATGACAACCTCCACAGTTCACCTAATATGCCCAGAGTAAAACAGAAAACGAAATGCTAATATCCAAAGTTGTGAAAAAGAGAAAAAGAATTGCAGAGATTTGACGAAGTCCTACTTGATTTACTAATCAATCAATCAATCAATCAATCAATCAATCAATCAATCAACAATCAGTAGATCAAGCAAGCTGGCTACTTGATTGGGCGGATCCTCTGATTGAGAGGTCCGCTCCGATGCCAAACTGTCGCATACCGTAAAGGTGCAGACCAGAACAAGAACCGACCGCTCTCACATAGTTCAAGATAGCGCAGCGGAAGGCTAAAATACCAATGATCAGACCAATCAGTGTTGCAATGCAGACCAAACATACATCATCATCATCGCAAGGTGGGAAGGGTCTGGTGCTAATACCAATGA